GGTGAATAATATAAAATCAGGATTATCCATAGGGCTTTCTCAGAGGTCAATCCTAGGGGATAAAAGATTGACAGTTAAAAACAATACAATCATGTTTTTCATCTTCGATACCTGATTCCTCCAGCAGCAAGGTGGCTGGGTTACGCTTCTGTGAATAGTCATATTTGGCAAGAGCAAGATAATTTCATGGGAAGTTAGTGTACTTGCTGAGTAATGTGTGTGATGAGAATTTAGTAAGGCTTCAAAGATAGTGAGGGGGACTCATGACTGTCTCTTCTGTGATCTGACATAGCATACCCCGGAGGCAAGGGGGGAAGCCTCTGGCTACCGAATCTAGCTGTTGGCTATAATACCCTATGGGCCGGTAGTAACCACCATGTGGTTGAGTTAGTACTCCTAGTGCAGTTCCCTTATTTTCATGAACCAAGAGGAAGAAGGGCAGATCATAATTTGGATGCCCCAGGGCTGGGGCCTTGTTTTTTTAAGGTCTCCGTGTGGCCTCAGAATGTTCTGCATTCCAGCAAAGTGATTCAGGTTAGTCCTGTTTGAGTAGGTTATATAATGGTTGAGCACTTAAGGAAAAATTTGGAATCCAATTTCTATAGTAGCCTGCAAGTCCTAAAAATCCCCTTAGTTATCTTTTTTGTCTTTGGGGCAGGGAAGGCCAGAATGCCCTTCACTCCAACCAGATCAATCAGAAGCTCTTCCTTAGAGATCCTATGTGTCATGGTCCAGGCGCGGGTTGGAAAAGAATTTCCAGACATGAGACAGAATGAGAGGGAAATAAAGTTTATTAGAGTGGGAGACGCTGTTAGAACAGTGGGCCAGCTCAAGGGAGAACCAACGTTGAACAGGGAGTCCTTAGTCCACTTTTATACTCAGGGTACAAGGAGTAGATAGGGATCTTGCAGGTCATTTGCTGATTGGATGAGGCATGTATACTGGGTGGGGGAAGAGTAGGGCAAATACCTTCTCCCAGGGGAGACAGGTTATACTGTTCCATTAATAGTTACAACATGGGGGAGGGAAGGACGATAAGGGTCTGGTTTTTCTGTTCCTGCATTCCAAGACCCTCCTTGGTTTTATCTGCTCTTTTGTCCTTGGGTCACCACCCTATGTCCTAAATATTTTACACCAGTCTTACAGAACTGCAATTTTTCTCTCGACACTTTATGTCCCTTTAAGGTTTCTGGAGTAAATACAAGGTGTCTTGCTGGCTGTTTGTCAAAGACTTTGAACACAGCAGCAAATCATCTACATATTGTATCAACACGGACTTGTGAGGGAAGTCCAGATCATCTAGATCAGCTTTCAATATCTGGGAGAAGTGGGGCTTTCAGTATATTCTTGTGGCATTACAGTCCACGTATATTGCCATTCATTCCAAGTAAAGGCAAAAAGATACTAATCACCAGGGTGTTCAGGGACACTAAAAGCTGCACTGCAGAGATCAATCACAGAAAAGAAATTTCTGTCTTTAGGATTCCACGACACTAAAGTATGGGGGTCTGGCACTACCGAATGTCGAGGGATAATAATAGCATTGATAGATGTCAGATCCTGTACAAATCCCCAACCCTTGCCGTTTGGTTTTCTAACTGGCAAAATGGGAGTGTTACAGAGGCTTGTGCAAGGCACAATGAGCCCTTTCTTGATGTAAGCTGATATTAAAGGTTTTATTCCTTCTATGGCCTCCTGCCTTAATGGATGCTGGCAAATATTGGGCAGAGGCTTATCTTTATCTACAGTAATTTTGATGGGGGATGCAGAATGTATTCATCTGTTGTCAGTAGAATCAAGTGCCCATAATTCTTTAGGTACTAAGGCTAGCAACCTATCTTGTTCAGTATCATCCTCATCATGAGTCACAAACATTATATGATGAAGGAAATCTGATTGTCCTTTAGATCTAGAAACATTTCTCCCTCAGAAATAAAGGAAATATGGGCTTCGCAAACTACCAGTAGGTCTCTACCTATCAAGTGAACAGGAGCACTTTCTACTGGAAGGAATGTCTTAAGTTTCCCCACGTAGAACCCTAAGAGTAATGATTTAGGAGCCTTAATAGGCGCACTAGAAGCCCCTCCCACCTGTACTGAGGTATCACTCTGAGGGAGAGCGCCTTTAATTTTGGTAAGGTTTAAAGCTGAAAAGGTGGCCCCTGTGTCTATTAGGGCTTTGTTTCCCCTTTTATAATCATTTCTACTTCTCCCAGAGTATTAGAGAGGAAAAGGGGGAAAGCGCCCCATGTTCCCTAGGAGCAGCAGCCCTATTCCTGTTTAACTCGGAATTCTGGCCTAAAACCCAGTTCTCCCTTAGCCTTTTTTTTTTTCCCTCTTAGCTTACAGTTCATTTTCTGATGTCCTGGTTTTCCACAGTAAAACCAAACTGTTTTCCTCTCAGTTGAGAACTAAATGAGGGTTGGTTGACCTTCAACTGGCTTTGAGTACTTAACTGGCACAGGTGAAGGTTCATGATTTTGGTAGATAATCCTTTTTCTTTCTAATGGTGTTGAAAAGTTGGTCAGCCAGTGTAATGAGACCACTGGTATACAACACAGACCAACCTAGATTGTGTCTTTTGACCAAAGTAGCCAAATCTTCATCTAAACCTTCTAAAAAGGTGGAGTTAAGCACGGAATCATTTTGGGGGCTGGAGAATGATTCAGGCGTCAAACCTAAATATTGTTTAAAAGTTTTTTTCAAATCCCTCATAATAATCTGGATTGATTCATCTGGTCTCTGCTTGCACTGTTGAATTTTTGTCCAGTCCTCAGTCTTTGAAAAAAGCTCTGGGATAAGTTCGAATAATTTCTGAGCCAATTCCTTGCACTTAGTATGAGCCTGTGGACTGTGGGATTCAAAATTCATTAAGGGTGTTTCCATCTGGCTTTCTCCATTCCCTTGCTTTACTTTCAGAAACTAATAGCAGTATTAGTTGATATAGATCTGAAAGCCCAGGTTTGTAGGCCTGGATGGTTAATTCAGATTCCTTAGAAAATCCCAATGGATCCTAACTGGGACCAGGAAATTCCTTAGCGACGGCTCTAAGTTCTGTACTGGTCCAGGGTGTGAAGGTAAACACTGAGGATGGGTCACCTCTCCTTGTGATAGGTTTCTCCTTAAAGGGAGCCATAATTACTTCTGATTTTTTATCCTCCTTTGCTGGGGAAAGAGGAGCAACAAGAGGCTGAAAGACAAAGTGTCTGGCAGTTCAGAGAGAAGAGGAGCAGAGGGAGAGACAGAGTTAGCAGCAGTGGCTTTTCCTAGTTCTGATATCATATCAAGCAATTTTTTGTTGGTTTCCTGCAAAGAAGTTACTCTATTATTTCCTCTTTTAGAAGCTTCTAGACACTACCCAGAGTAAGCATTCCATTCAGTCTGTTTGATCTTACGGCTGGCTTTTTCTAGTTGTGCATGCAAAAATATCAATTTTGGAATATCAAAAGAACGCCAGTTTGGCCATTTTAAGTTAGGGTCTCCTTTAGTATAAATTCCCCAATTAACTAGGTACCTACAAGTATGAGATCCGCACATATTGTACATGAATTTGGCTGGGGTGTTGGTTGGAGGTTGGCTTTCTGATGCCCCTCCTTTTTGATTTTGCAAGATTCTATTTCCTATTTTAAGCTGAATTTGTCAGGGATAAAAATCACTAGTGAACTTGTGTAGTGGGCCCATGTGCTGCTTGTGAGCTTAACTCTTCTAGGAGTCACCCTAGAGTCATTTCAGCCCTCTTATAAGTCTCGGATTCTGCCTCCAGCAATTTAAGACCACCGTGGCTGCTCAGGTTGCTAAATGGCCAGTTCTTATGTGCAACCCCTGGACGAGCAAATATTTTAATTAATGAGTGGGTTTGCCTATGGGACCACTGCATGGTATGAGGACTAGGCCTCCACCACTCCAGTAAATTTCTCTGTCACCTGAGAAAACCGAAACCGGCCAGGAGTCTCGTCCCTTCTCTTTGGAGAAAAGCTTTCATGTATCTTCCACACTTTTATCCCAACAAATTCTATAAAGACAGCTGAATGGAGGAAAAATGTCAGATCAGCCTCTTACCTATGCACTCAGCCGAGATCATTCAATCCTCTACAATGGAGTGACCTCAGTATCTTTTCAACTGAGCCCTGGGTATGCCTCGATTTCTTTCAGTCGAGGCCCCCAACCAGTACCTTTCCACGGGCTGGGTATTTTGCTGGGTTTTTTCACCCAGCCTCCCACCCAGTATCTTTCAACTGGGTGGAAATTTCTCAGTATCTTCCAACTGAGCCCCACTCAGTGTCTAGACCATGACTGCGTATGCCCCGGATATTTCACCAGAGCATCCCCCCAACTCCCGCCAGTATCTTTCCAACTGGGAGGGGGCAGCTAACCTGCTCCACCGCCAAATAAAACTCCCAATCTCAACCACTACGGGAGATTAGAGAACCAACAGAGATTTACCCAAATTCGTCTGGATTCCCCAAGAAGGCGAATGGGCGCAAGGGGCTGCTGCTGGTACCAAAGATCAGGTTCCTCATGGAGTTCAGGTGAGGGAGGGAAGTCCACTCTGGGTCCCTTCATGGTCACCAAAACTGTCAACTAAAAAGATGTACAACTTGAGAGTTGCGAGTTAAGTTTTGCATCTGGATTCCCAGAGCATCCTGGGTCTCTGTATAGCCTACAACATGCTCACCACTGAAACTTTTTGTTTCTGTAGTCACCAGACAACTGACCCCCTGTACCAGTCACCACCTCTCCCAACAGGCACCTCTGGTAACCACTGCTCTGTTCTCTTCATCTGCTCTGCTCACCGCATCCACGTTGTGTGTCTGGGGGAAACAAACTCTCTTTTGAGTAAATATTTGAGTGAAAGAAACTAAACTGATTGAATAGAAAAGAAGTTCTAACAGTGGTTTCCAGTCGCCTCGGAACGGGTGAGAAATGCAGATTCTTGGGCCTATGGAGACAGCAGTCTGGACTGAGGCCCAGCAATCCATGTTCCAAGGAACCCTCCAAGGTTCTGATGTCCCTGGAAGCTGAGCAACATCGGGTAGGAGGAGGTGTCTTTCAAGGAGGACTTTGCTTCTGCATACATTTTAAGTCTGGGACTTGTGCTCAGTTCAGAGGGGGAACCGAGAGCTCTGACCTTCCCAGCACTTCCAGAGACTCTGGGAGGACTTGGGGCGGGGGGGTCCCGACGGCCCCAGCTCTATGCCCCCAGAGGCTCCTGGAGGACTTGGGATCCCCCTGGTGCCTGGCTTGGTTTCTGCACAGTGCAGGGGTCAGGGGAAGGAACTGGGCCTCCGGTGGTCTCGTTACTCGGTCCTTGCTCCCCCCAACTCCTTAAGCTTAACCCTCTGGCTGCCCCGACAAGGTCAAAGCACCTGGTGTGTCATGCGAAAAATATTCCCCAGCAACGTGCTTTGCCTCCAGCTGTGAAACTGATTAGTGGCCTTAAAAATTCCCCCAAGAGTCTCTACTGGCAGCTGTAGTTGCTATTTTAAAACAGCAGAAGCATGTCTGAGAGAGGAAGGGAACTGTGTGTTATGTACAGGAAAAAGGTAAAAAAACTTTCCCTCCAAGTTAAAGAATGGCACATCCAATAGAAAAAAACGTGCTTTTTGTTGGAATAGCCTAACTTTTAGTTAACTGTGATAAAGCTATTTCTGAAATCAGTATCAGGAAATTCAGCTGGTTGGGATTCAAGAGATTGCGGGATTAGAAGGTGAGAAGCAGCCGCTACAGACGCGAGGGAAGGTGGGCTCCTTGTTGAATGCTCAGCTAGGGCAAGCTGACTACATGCATTCAGGAACTCTGTCTGAAATACAGGATGGAAATCAAAAGTGCCTGATACAAAAAAGATAATGGTTCAAGTGACTACTCAGACCTGGATTTTTTTTTTCCCCTCTGCCTTCCATAAGAATGAATTTTAAAAGTTCAGTTTATGGACCACTCATGGCCAGAGAACCCAAACTAAACCTGCAGAAAAGTTCAGCCCTGGACCTGGCCAGAAGTCTATTTATCAAGCAAGGGTTTACTGAGCATCTACCAAATGGACAACACGCGTGCAGCCCTGGAAATGTGAGTGAAGAGACTTAGTCCACAAGATGGAGACAAGGTATGTGATGTTAAAACAGGTCCAAGCAGAGCTCAGAGGAGACTGGAGGGAGGCATCTAGGTTGGGTGAAGGAAAGAGACGGTGCATTTCAGGTGGGACTGGAGCCTCTGCAAAGACACATAGGTCTGAAAATGGACAGCAGGGCATCTTGACTGGATGAACCCGTGGAGAGGTGCTGGAGCCCCAGGCAGGGAGGAGAGGTCAGACAGGCGGATTCTGCAGGGGGTCGGCATGTGGGTGGGTTGGGGCAGGGGGATTCAACCATCTCTGGCAGAGCTGCCAAGGTTACATCGTTGTGATAACTCTACTGGGATCTGAAGATGGCCTGGACAGGTGAACTAAAGAGGGCAATGAGCTTGATCAAAGACAAGAGACACAAACTAACATTTGTCTCCTGTTAGTCACAGGATACGTCCTAGTTGTGCCCACCATGAAGCTGATTCCTTCCCAACCAAAACAGGCAGACACCTCTGAATCTCTGAGGTGGGCAAGCATAAAATTCACTGTTTTCAGATCACTGACTACTTGGAAGAGGAAACTAACCATAAAGCAATTATACACCAATAAAAAAATTTTGATAGGAAAAAACAGACAAACCACTTCTTTTGAAATTTCTCATCATTCAAGAAGGTATAGGAAAATTATTTTAATCACTGGGCATACGGGGTTAAAAATGCTGAATACTACTGTTTCCAAAGCACCTTTTATAAATTCATTCAGGTAACTTGACAATGAGAAGGCAGCGACAGAGGATGAAAGGAGTTTTGAGTAAACTCCAGGAGATGGTGAAGGACAGGGAAGACTGGTATGCTGCAGTTCATGGGATTGCAGTCACACACAACTTAGTGACTCAACAACTACTTAACAATTACTGAACACAATATAATGCCTACCACCTGCAATTTGTTTGAATTACTGGCATTTGTTTTCCCAGTCAGTACTTTCTAGGAAGTATTTCCTACTCTGTGCACAAGGGTACCATTTATTTTCCCCTAAAACCCTCTTTAAAGTGAAGTCGCTCAGTCGCGTCCGACTCTTTGTGACCCCATGGACAGTAGCCTACCAGGCTCCTGTGTCCATTGGATTTTCCAGGCAAGAATACTGGAGTGGGTTGCCATTTCCTTCTCCAGATCTTCCCGACCCAGGGACTGAACCCAGGTCTTCTGCACTGTAGGCAGATACTTAACCGTCTGAGCCACCAGTCAAGAGGAAAACCCTCTCTGAACACATCCTGATACCTTGAAGCAGAAGGAAGCTGCATGACCAGGATGGAACGCTCTTCCTGGCCTCAATTGCTGCTCTGGGAGCAAATCATGTGAAACAAATATTCACTGTCAGCCCAGATGTTTGATTTGCTGTTAATACACAGCCAATTTGATTTTCACCCAGTGCTCGGGGGGGAAGAGGAATAGAAATATATATAAACTGTGGACAAAACAAATGCAGATCTGGTAGGTGGAAAAACTACAAACGTCAACATTGGACATGTCTTCTTTCTTCCTATTCAGGGAAAGTGCTGCTGACCAGAGGGAAAAACGTCTCTCCTGCCCCCTGCTGTCTTTCCATCTGACTTGGCAGCATTCTAAAATTTTTGAATCATTATTTCAAGGGAAAAGATTTCTGTAGATTTTTTCCCTGACTCAAAACAATTTCTAGAACAGTGAATGAATTTTAATTCCCCATCCTTACTTATGGGATATTTTATGAATTCACACGCATGAATTTGAGTAAATACCAGGAGACAGAGGAGGACAGAAGAGCCTGGCGTGCTGCAGTCCATGGGGTCATAGAGAGAGACACAACTTAGCAGCTGAACAACAACAAATGACGGGAGGCTGAGTGTTTGCTGACGGCTGTGTAGAGCTGGGAGTTTTGAATGTTGCTTTAACCTAGTTTAGATCTAAGGCAGTCAAATAAGCAACTATCAAAACAAACTAACAGAAAGGGGCCATTAAGAAAATAAAGCCTCCTTCAGAGAAATAATCAAAATAATGTGATCAGAAGAGTGCTGAGAATGGTCTCTATTTATTTGCTGTTACCACTTGCACTACAAGCTTCAGGAATTTGATGTTTAAAAAGTTCAAATAGCTAAAGATCATGAACAAAACTAAAAGCCAGACAGCAGGTTTCTGGGAAAGTATTTTTCATGCATGTGATTTTTGGTGAGAGGAGGAAACAGAACACAGGGCTCAAAGAATCAGTTTCCTTACTTACCACCTCAAGAGCCACATCTCCATCTCTTCAAGCCTGAGGTCTGAGGACCACAGCAGGTGTGCATGTGACATCCCAGGAAGGGTTTGTTTTTGCACAATTTGGGCTGACCCAGGCCAAATGACACAGCATCCAAGAGGTCCCACAGATACAAGACACTGGTCTCCCAGCGACAACACTAAATAATCAACACCACAATCAGCGGGAGGTCGGATCACTTTGAGAAGCTGGCTCCCCGGTGCTGGGGTGGATTCTGCTGGGATTTACCCACCCAGTCCTCTGGGACACGCCTAGAGGAGCACCTTACTGCCAAGTCTCCACCTGCTCCACCCCTCCAGCTTCCCTCTGCCCAAAGTCACAAGGCACTGCTTTTCAGAGATCGATTTGTGGGGCTGCCCAAAACCTTCCTAAGGCTTCACAGTCAACAAAACCGTATCTTATCATGATGAGGTCACCCAGCTGTTTTCAAACAGAATCTATTGAAAGGCAGAAGAAAACTAATAGTGTGCCTTTACTGAATAATACTCCCCCGTTTGACTTGGGTGAACCCAAAGAATCAGAAGGATTTGCTTCCATTGAAGCTAGAAGTTTTAAGTCCTCAACCTTGCGCTTGATGTTTTCCTGGTCCAGGGAGGACACCCTCACGACCCCAACACTTCTGCCCACTCAATACCGGGCAGGTGAAAACAGTAGCCAACCCTTACTTTTTCCAAGTCAAAGGTGGAGGATGCGGAGTAACACAACCTTCAGCTATGCACATTAACTGCACCACGAAGGAACTGCAGACAAATTGTTTTTGTATCACCAGGGGAGGGCAGCATGCTCCCCACGGTCTAAATCCCCACTGTCTAAATCCAAAGGCTTCTTGAAGCCCTCGTCTGCCCTGAAAAGCCCAGGGGTTCAGGGCTCCCCTCTGCGAATGCAACCCAGCGGCTTCCAAGAGCAGGGCCACCCCAGACAGAGACCCGTACAACGCTCTTTCCGAACTGGGCACCAAGCGTGCACCGCGGACACGGCTTTCTGGGTCCTGGCCACCCTCATGAAGCTCAGCCAGACGTGGGCGCTCTAAGGGGCCAGGAAACTAACGATCGGCTAGCTGGTGCGTCCGAGGCCCCGCGCGCTCCTCGCGTGCAAAAACCCATAGTTGGCCACCCGGGCTAAGTCTCCCCTGCGGGCCGGAGCGCATCGTGCGCGTGGAGACCCCAGCTGAACTGGCTGGCTGACTCCCCGACTCGTCGGGGAACAGCTGAATTTCCAAACGCGCAATAGCAGGGTGCGCCGCGAATTTGAGTCTCTAACAAGCCCAGCTGTGCGTCCCTGCGCAGAACAGCCGCGAGCTTGGACCTTGGAACAGACGTGCCCGGCTCCGGCTGACCCACCCCTGGGTCCGAGGACATGCGATGCCCAACGGGGTGTCGGGGCGCTTCTCCCCTCTAGTGAACTCACAAGCACGTGCAGCGCACACACCTGTGCACACCCCTGCGCCCACCTCCGTCTCCGCTCCCCGTAGCCTCCCGCCGCGGACCTGCTCACCTGCGGCTGCAAGGGGGTGCACAGAGGTCCCTCCCTTCCCTCTGCCGGTCTCGCCCCTCCAGCGCCCGAGTCGCCCCCGCATCGGTTCGAGCCCCGACCCTTTCGAAGCCAGTCACCCAGTCCCCTCCTAGGTCCGGCTGGCCCGGCGTCCCGCACTCAACTGGTGGGGCTGGAGGGACCGGGCTTGGTAAAAAGAGTGCAGAAAGCCGCGAACTTAGGGGGCTTTTCAGGAGCTGGGAACGGGTGTGGCTGCTGGGGGGCGCCCCTTGCCAGAACTTTGGGAGCGCCTCAGNCAATAGACGGAAAGCTTGAGCAACTAGCCTTGGAAAACGCAGGCCAGCAAGAGACGGCACAGGTCTTTAATATTAATAAGTTCCTTTCCACAAATAAGCTTCCTAAAAAGGCTTCCTGCCCAGAAATGAAGTTTTAACAAGGAGCTTTGGAACAAGACATTTTCCCAAATAATTAACATAGGATAGTCCATCACTGGGTTGGTTTTTGGTCAGGAAATCTTTTCTCAGTAAGCCTCACTGGCTGGAGAAAGGATATTTTTCAGGAAACAGGTGAGATGCTGTCAAAGTAAAGTAGGCATGTAATACTTTTTCCCTAAGCACACTGTAACCTGCATGGTGTCAGGCAACTTGTTTTTCTTGTTTCCTGCTGGTACCCCTAGCAAAGTGTGCAGCCTGTACTATCTGCATAATAAACTTTTGCTACAATCACATAAAAGCATGGACGTGGTAGCTTTGAAATGTCTGAATTTATCACTTTTGAAATAGGTAATTAAAAAACTTCATGGTTTTATTAAGATATAATTTGTATACCAGAAAATCCACCCTTAAGTGCATAGTGCAATATTTTTAGACTATTACAGAATTGTGCACCTAGCACCACTATCCAAATGTACAACATTTTCATCACCCTTGGAAGGCACATTGTGCCCCTGAGCAATCGCCCCACCTTCCATTCAGCCCCTCCACCCCCAGCCCTAGGCAACCACTAGTCTACTTTACATCTGTAGATTTGCTTATGACTTTCTTGTGAATGGAATCGTGTTGTATGTGGCCCCTTGATGTTGTTTAGTCGCTAAGTTGTGTCTGACTCTTTGTGATCCCACGGACCATAGCCCACCTGGCTCCTTTGTCCATGGGATTTCACAGGCAAGGATACTGGAGAGGGCTGCCATGCCCTTCTCCAAAGGATCTTCCTGATCCAGGGATCAAATCCATGTCACCTGCATTGGCAGGTGGATTCTTCACCACTGAGCCACCAGGGAAGCCCATGAGCCCCCTTAGGACTGGCTTTTTTTTTTTTTACTTAGCATAATGTTTTTAAGGTTTATTCATTTTGTGTGTGTTTCATTCTTATTACAGCTGAATAACATTCCATCTTATGGCTATACCACATTTTATATATTTGTGGATAACTTTTTGAGGTATTTATGGGCTTTTCTCTCAGTGTTTTCCTTGTTGTCTTATTTCCATTCAAACAGGTCTCAGGATTTTCAGTTTGTTTCCTCAGAAGAGTCTTTGGCAGCACAGAAAATAGACATAGTTTACAAAAATTCTCGGTCTTCGCTTCTAAAAACTCAAGAGGTAGAACAGGGCTTGAGGAAGGGTGCTCTCTCCCTTGGACTACAGGAGAGATCTGAGAGACATCTCTTTGTCCCCTCAGAGTGCACTGGGTAGACAGTGTGCCCTAAGACAGGAATGTTAGACCATGGGCATGGGGGTCCCAGCTCCCCAAAGGCTCCGGTGCCCTATCCCTGGCACAGAAGCCTCATAAAATGGCCAGGCCAAAAGAAAGCACGTGTCTTTAATGGTGACCTCTGTGGGCAGATGACAGAAGAAAGGAGAAGCCTAGTGCTTTGCAGCATCTGAAACCCTGGAGAGTTCATACACACCTGAGGCAGAATCACAAGAATGACTGAGAGTGAAAAAAAAAAAAGAATGAGGTTGAATTTTCTACTGGCCCTGATGTGCGGGGGAATCAGGGGAGGATGAGACACAGTCATTCTCGTACGCCTGGTTTTGAGGCTCAAGATCAGTCTACACTATACTCGTTACATGAGTTCACTGAAATCAAGAATATGGTACACACCTCATACTTATCAGATAAAACTCCAACATAACAGGACAGGACATTCTACTTAGAAAAATGTTTTATATGCTTCCTGTGCCCCTTAGTCTGTGACTTTCCTGCATGACCCCTTTCCAATGAAGCAAGACAAGTTTATTATGCAACATAACATCCTTGACATTTTTTCCCCAAAACAACCTGTACCAAAAGTTTAAATTTTGGTAAAACATAATACTTTGCAATTTTATACTTCAGACTTAACTGATAAATCATCTCACAGCTACAGGAAAAATAAATAAATTAGGTAAAACATTGAAGACAAATTAAGAAAAAGCACATAGGGTTCCCCATCGTCTATACCCAAGGGTAGTGATTTAATCAATATAGAAATAACAAACTGGCTAGAGTCACAGGAGTGTTGAGGAGCATTGGCTCATTGCAGCTGTCCCCAGAACAGACACAAAAGGGTAGGACCCAGAGACCCAGCTCTTACTCAAAGGTGGCAGAAGGAAAAGTCCCCTGGGGTTTGCTTTTGGTGGTGTCGTAAGATCGGACTAGTTCTTCCTGAGAAATCACAGCTTGTTCTACCTGAGAAAACGCATACCCATCTGAAAGAGCAAACCATGAGGGATGCTGTTAGAAGGCAAATACGTACAGTGAACATTCTGGTGACAGAAATCAAAACCCCTCCCAAACGGACACATTGGCCACCTCAGGCAGGGTGGCTGAGGCGGGGAGAGTGGCGAGGTCTGGGGAGGGCTTGGCAATGGGGCAGTTTGCAAACCTAGCTGCGTCAGAACCACCGATGAAGACTTTTCTGCATCCTTCTTTCTGGGGCCAATGGATCTGCATGGTTGGACATGGCTGGGTGCTTTTTAAAGTTCTCCCAAGGATTCTGATGTGGTGCCCGACGCTCCTTGAGAGCCAAGTCCTAAAGGATGCAGCCTGGCCAAGGGGCTCAGGGGCTCGTGCCTGTTTCTATGGGGCTGTGGCCCAGCCTAGTCTGAGCAGCTCAAGAGGGGACCCACGGGTCCCTCACTACATTTTCCTACCACCATTCAAGAGAAGGGGCCCTGAGACAGTCTGAGTCTTAAAACTAAAACCTACAACTGAAACCCAGAAAGGTAAGTTTTGAAGCTGAAAACATGCTGGGGGACAACATGCAATATTAATATTAAACTTAGTTTTAAAAAAAAGTCCATCATGCTGGAAATGTCTCTGTTTTAAAATTTAGCTGATTTAACTAGATATTCAAAGTGGTTTACTTGAGTTGACGTGAATAACAGGGTCATGGGTAGAAGTTCCCAGAGGAAATAACTCATTGACCAGCACTCTTTCTCTGGGAGAATCAATCCTAGAGTCATTTCTGAAAGCGATATCGGCTCTCGTGGGGCAATGAGGAGAGCTGACGAGTATTTCCTCTCTTCTCTAACTTCTGACCTTGACAGGTCAGACCTAGAGCAGTCTCACATTTGAACAATATTAATACATTTAGATTAAAACATGACCCAGAGCGAGCACATGCTGCTTCCACACACTCCCAAGGTTTACTACAGCTCACCGATGACAGTGGATTTACTTGTGAGTGGCCATGCTCTTTAGAAGCAGAAAAAGTAACTTGTGTCCATGTGTTGTGAACTGGCTTATGTGCTTGTGTGTGGAAGGAGAGAGGGATGTGGTGGTCCACAGCCTTCTCTGCATGGAGAGCCACCCCGGAACTGGTGAGAAGCCTAGTAACCCACACAAAGGCAGGACCAGCGGTTCTCAAACTAGAGTGGGCGCCACCACCAGAGGGTTGATTCAGTGAGTCTTCAGTGGGGCCCAAGAGCCAACAGTTCTAGCAACTTCCCAGGTGACACTTCTGCTCCTGGGTTAAGGACAGTGCATGGAGCACCACTGTTTTAGGCCATTTTCACCACAGTCTTGGAGTGCATGCAGGTATCAGTGGCTTCCCACTGCCACGGATGACCTTCCTCCCACTCAGGATGGCTCCACCCAGAATCTCAAGGTGGAATCTGGGTTGGCACTTCTCGGGTGTCACGGATTCTCTGTGCGGCTGTGGGGACAGGAGGGAGTGCCCTTGGCAGCAAGTCTCTGAGAAGATTTTCTGAGCACAGAGGCCCTCCCTGCCCAAGCAGAAGTCCAGGCTCTGTCGGCAATGCAAACTGCCAAAGGTGGAAAAACCACTGTCCTTCACTTTATCTTAAATGTTCTAGATGCAGAAACATGGAGGGCTGTAAAAAATAAAAATATGAAAGCAGCCCCACCCTTGTAAAATGAAGATGTGTTCGCATTTTAAATGGTCTCCTTGTTCTGCATTAATGGTTTAAAAAAATTCAGGCGGTTACCTACCTTTTTAAAAATGTGGTTAAATGCGTGTAGCATAAAGTTTACCATCTTAAGGATAGGAAGTGTCCAGTCCAATGGCACTGAGAACAGACACAAGGCTGTGCAGACACCTCCACCCTCTGGCCCTGGAACTCTCTGCCTCTCCCACCTGAGACTCGCCTCGCCCCACCCCTGGAAAGCCTGCTGTCCCTCTGAGAATCTGACTGCTCCGGGACCTCATGTCTGTGGGGTCACACAGTACTTGTCCTTTCGTGTCTGGCTTATTTCACTCAGCATGCGCCTTCAAGGAGGAGGCCCTCACGTTTAACCGCCCCTCCTTCTGTGAGTCAATGGCATCTCCATGTTGTGACTTACGTGGGGCACCTAGGTCCACAGAGTTGTTCCGGAAAACCACCTGACAGGACCTGGGACTCACGGACCTTTGGAGATCCACCTCCTCCACCTTGGGCCTAAATCAAACACAGACTGGCTTTAGTTCATTGCGTACTAAGTTGTTTTAGTCATGTCTGATTCTTTGTGTCCCCATGGACTGTAGCCCACCAGGCTCCTCTGTCCATGGGATTCTCCAGGCCAGGATACTGGAGTGGGTTGCCATTTCCTACTCCAGGGGATCTTCCCAACCCAGGCATCGAACCTGCATCTTTGTGTCTCCTGCATTGGCGGGCAAGTTATTTACCACTAGTGCCACCTGGGAAGCAGATTTAAAGGGATTTGTTGGAGGAAAAATAAGTTTCAAGGTAAAAGTAAAAAAAAAAAAAATCTTCCTTACCACTTGGAGAATGTTCTTACCTTTAAAATAAAATGGATATTATCCAGACACTCTCGGTAAGATGCTTCTTTTAAAATAGCATTTTGCTGTGAGCATCTCTTATGTTGTTGTTTAGTCATTAAGTCATGTCCAACTCTTTGTGACCCCATGGACTATAGCATACCAGGCTCCTCAGTCCTTCATTATAGCCCAGATATATATATCCCACTATTACTCAAACTCATGTCCATTGAGTTGATGATGCTATCCAACCATCTCATCCTCTGTCACCCACTTCTCATCATCTGTCACCTGCTTCTCCTCCTGCCCTCAATCTTTCCCAGCATCAGGGTCTTTTCCAATGAGCTGGCTCTCCACATCAGGTGGCCAAAGTATTAGAGCTTCAGCTTCACCATCAGTCCTTCCAATGAATATTCAGGGTTGATTTCCTTTAGGATGGACTGGTTTGATCTCCTTGTTGTCCAAGAGACTCTCAAGAGTCTTCTCTAGCACCACAATTTGAAAGAGTCAATCCTTTGGCACTCAGCCTTGTTTATGGTCAAACTCTCACATCCGTATATGACTACTTCACGTACAGCCCTACCTAACTGTTTTCTCCAAAGAGCTGAACTGGACAATGAATGTCCTGTTTTCCTCAGGCCTCTAAGAGTACCTTAGAGTTCTTATGGCATGTATTTTCAAAATCTTTGTCCCAGTTTCCTTTTCTTATGGCAAAGCCATCATCTAGAGTGGTTCAAGACTCTTTTTAAAATTATTTTTTAACTTATGACAGCGCTGGGTCTTCGTTGCTTTGCACAGGCTTTCTCTAGTCTTGTGAGTACAGGCTTCTCACTGCGGTGGCTTCTCTTTTTGTGGCGCACGGGCTCTAGAGTGCACAGGCTTCAGTAGTTGCAGAGTGTGAGCTTAGCGGCCCTGCAACATGTGGAATCTTCCCAGACCAGGGGTCAGCATATGGGATCTTAGTTCCTGGACCAGAGATCAAACCCGTGTCCCCTGCATTGGCCGGTGGATTCTTAACCACTGCACCACCAGGGTAGTCCGGGTCTGAGACTCTGGAAAATGTAGGTCAAGACAGGTGGGTTCTGAGCATGAGAGCTTCTCCAGATCCCAAGGCTGACTAGGGGACCATGCGGGAAAGCCAACAGTGAGAGAACTGAGAATCCTGAACTCCTACAACTTTTTCATTTCTTGCTCTCTTCCTTGGTGAGCTGATGATTTTCTATAGTGATAAGCGTGATTCCTCTTTCTTTACTTTTGTGTATTTAATATAAGTTTTTTGCTTTGTGGCTACCATGAAGCTTACACAAAACAATTTATATTGGTAACAGTCTGTTTTAAGTTGATAAAAACTCAAGTTAGAGTGCATTTTAAAACTTCACACTTTTACCAACATGGGTTTGATCCCGGCACTGGGAAGATCCCCCAGCAAAGGAAATGGCAACCCACTCCAATGTTCTTGCCTGGGAAATCCCATGGACAGAGGAGACTGGCAGGCTACAGTCCATGGAGTCACAAAGAGTCGGAGACAACCTAGCAACTAAAACAAATAACAACAACAGTGCTGTAGTATATTGATGTTGCAATTTACATATTTTTGTCTTGTGTATCCATCAACAAATGATTGTGGTTTCAGTAATTTTTACTGCTTTTGTCTTTTGACTTTCACATTAAGTGAAGGTTTATAAGTGATTAAACTCACCACCTTCACATCAGATTATTCTGAATCTGACTATTTACCTTTATCATTTAGATTTATACTTTCACATCTTTTTCTTTTCCTTCTTAGTGCCCTTTTGTTTTGGCTTAAAGAAGTCCCTTTAACATTTCTTTCTCTCTTGTTTTTGGCTGTACTGGGTCTTCGTTGCTGCACGCACACTTTTATCTAGTTATGGAGAGTGGGCTCTACTTTCTAGTTGCAGTGTGTGGGCTTCTCATTGCCGTGGTTTCTCTGGTTGTGGATCATGGACTCTAGGGTGCCTGGGCTTCAACAACTGTGGTGTGTGAGCTCAGTAGTTATGGTGTACAGGCTGAGTTGCGCTGTAACATGTGGTATCTTCCCCGACCAGGGGTCAAACCCATGTCTCCTGCATTGTCAGATGGATTTTCAACCACTGGACTGCCAGGGGAGTTCCCTTTGAAGACCAGTCTAGTGGTGATAAATGCCTTCAGCTTTTGCTTGTCTGGAAAACTCTTTATCTCTTCTCCACTTCTGAAGTATACCTCTGCTGAGTGAAGTATTCTTGGTTGGTACTTTTCTTCTCCTTCAGCATGATACCCTACTCTCTCTCAGCCTGGAAGGTTTCTGCTGAGAAATCCTCTCATAGCCTCATGGGCATCCCCTTCTGTGTCATGAACTTCTTTCCTTTTGCAGCTTTGAGGAGTCTCTCTTCATCTTTGATTTTTTACAGTTTTATACATATAAATAAATATATATACATATAAATACATATTTATATGTATATGTATATATTTATACATATCAATATATATATATATTTCAGATGATAAAGAATCTGCCTGCAATGCAGGAGATCTGGGTTTAATCCCTCGGTCGGGAATATCCCCTGGAGAAGGAAATGGCAAGCCATCCCAGTATTCTCGCCTGGAGAATCCCATGGACAGAGGAGCCTGTCGGACTATAATTTGCTAATGAGTCTCAGTGAAATATTTTAGGGGTTGAATCTGATTGAGGCTTTCTTATGCCTTCATGTATCTGAATATGTAGACATATTTTTTTTTAATTCTCTTGGGTAAATACCTAGAAATGGAGCTGCAGGGACACAGGATAGGTGTTTGCTTAAACGGATTAGAATGACCAGTTATCCAAACTGATTGTGCGAGAGTCCTAGCCCCTCTTCATTCTCATCACACTTGGTACTATCAATCATACATACTCAGTAGATGCCAAATACATGGATATTTGTTAATCACCCCATTCATTTGCTTTAGATTTGCCTGTACTACAATGTTGCTTCCCCCTAGAACTTTTAAATATGCTTTTGGGTCTCTTTACCCAAGCCATACCATCAGTTGTTTTCCATCCTTTCCTTTAAGCCTAACAAAGCACTTAAATGTAGTAGGTATTCAGCATATTCCAAAGATTGATTCTTTGCCTTAGAAACCCCGCAAAAACACTCCAGATTCAGAGAATGCTGACTGGAAACTCCAGGTTACACCCAGGCCTCCAGTGAAAGCCCAGGACAAACATCTGACATGGTTACTGAGAAGACCCGTGGTCCTTTCACTCAGGACAGCTCCCAGGTTATGTCAAGCAGTTGGAACGGATCTCTCTCTGGAGCTGGTGTGCATGCAGAGGTTAAAGTTTTGATGAGAGGAACGAGATTTCCTGACGAGATCCCTGCCCTGGGCATGGGATGTGAGGAAGAGGAAGTGAGGAGGACCTCGGGATTTGGGGCCAGGAAGCCATTGATTGAAAGGAAGACTGTGGAGGGGTGCATCAGAAGAGGGGCCTGCCCTGCTGGGGACTCGATGCTCAAGATTCCAAGAGGACCTGGGAAACCATGGCAGGTCAATCCCCATGCCCCTGGGAGGGAAAGGGGAGGAGGTGGCGGGTCAATCCCCACACCCCTGGGAGGGAAAGGGGAGGAGGGGGAAAGAAAAGGGAAACAGGTTTTTCACAAAAATCAGGATAAAGGGAACTGCCTCACCTCCGTGCAGAGTCTCTGCGAAGTACCTGAACTCCGCTGCTTTCCATCTCCCGAACGTCCTCCAGCAAAGTTCTGTGGCAGGTGTTTCTAATCCTGTAAGAGACGGAAAGAGAAAAGGGACATAACACATGCACTCTGCACCCTGGGAGTGATGGTTTCTCCCCTCCTGGATGACAGCTGGACACCCCTTGGCTACAAGCAGTGTGGAGGGATGCAAGGCAGCATGCCCTGTCTGTGTGTGAGCAGCAGCCCCTACTTTTCTGGTAACTGAGAGCATTACTGCTGCTGCTGTTGCTAAGTCACTTCAGTCGTGCCTGACTCTTGGCAGCCCCAGGGACTATAGCCCGCCAGAATCCTCTGTCCATGGGATTCTCCAGGCATGAATACTGGAGTGGGTTGCCAAGCCCTCCTCCAGGGGATCGTCCCAACCCAGGGATCAAACTCACATCTCTTATGTCTCCGGTATTGGCAGGTGTATTCTTTACCACTGTGCCACCTGGGAAGCCCCGAGAGCATTACAGATTTGGACAATGTGAATTAGCAACCAGCCACCTCAAACACTGCTGACTCTCTGTGAAAGCCTGGATGTGTCTGGGTATGTGCTGAGCCTGCACACCACAAATACTGAGTCTGTGTGCCACAGCTACAGAATCCACGTGCCGCAACGAGAGAGCTCACTTGACACATCTAAGATCCTGCGTACCAGAACTAAGACCCAATGCAGCCAGATAAACAAATAAATATTTAAAAAAAATTTTTTTTTAATTTCATGAGTTCTTTAAGCATTTAAAGTGAAAGTGAAGTTGCTCAGTCGTGTCTGACTCTTTGCGATCCCGTGAACTATAAGCCTACCAGGCTCCTCCATCCATGGGATTTTCCAGGCAAGAACACTGGACTGGGTTGCCATTTCCTTCTCCATTTACATTTAAAATTACCTTCAATGTTGGAGACAGGATTCCTAACACCTTAGTCTTTTCCCCACCCCCTTTCTGTTAGATTTAGTAAAAAAAAAAAAAAAAAAAAAAAAAAAAAAAAAAAAAAAAAAAAAAAAAAAAAAAAAAAAAAAAAAAAAAAAA